TCAAGCCGTGTATCCGTAGTACGTACCTGTGTAGATTTTTTGGAGAAAATGTAGATAGGAATGAAAGCGCGGGGCGTTTTATGTTCTGATGCCTGATGAAAGCCCCAGGCCACGAAACCAAGACTAAAAATCCAAGGGCGAAAAAAAAGGACTGGTCAAATAAGCTCTCGTTGGGAGTCGAACCCACGTCGTCCACTGAACGTCGAATTTTTCATACACATTGCAAGTGGAGGATCTACACGCTGATCTACGAGGGCCTGATCCTGTTGTGAGAGAGTTGAATCTCCTGGGAGGTGAGTGTAATCATTAAATAGTGGAGTGGTGAAATGAACTCGAAATAATGTTGTCCTTGTATAACACAGAGCATTGAGCCAGTCGTAGAAAATCAGCGCGACGGGAAGGGAACCCAAAAGTTGTGATTCCCCGGCAAGTAACGTTGGTCCTGCGCATGCGAGCATCTGACAACTTCCCTTAAGCGTTGCGTCCGGCACCAGAAAAAAAAACGTTCGACGCTCGCTGAGCTGCCCCTGCAAGGTTCGAACTTGCGATCTCACGATGAAATATCTGCCATACCCAAGTATAACAGTCGTGCGCCTTCACCAACTGGGCCAAGGGGCATGCAACAGAATACGAGTATCGAGCAATGACACTTCTCTTGTACATAACGTATTGGAGGCGCGTCCAAGAAACGATGATTTGGAGGCCACTGGAGTTCAAGTGGTGTAATGCGACCTTTCAACTCACAGTAATTGACCCAAAATTACTTGGCAGCACCTCTGTGAGTGCCGAACTCATCCGATGCCTGTCAGCAAGCATGGTGTCTCGTGCTTATTTTCCGCGAGTGTATCAACACAAAATCAAGGTCAGAATGCGTGATTTCCAGAGACAGCGAAATATTTCGAGGTTGAACATTGCCCACGTGACTATGGTTGAATTCGAACATATCACTTTCATTCCCGAGGTACGTCAAATCTCGAGCGTTAGTAGTCCAGGAAGCAACCAATCACCCTATACAGTGTTGTATAATTCATTGAACATACACCGCGAAAAGTCTCGTCAAGTGCAGGTTCCAACACGTGAAATCGCCGCGCGGGCCCGAATCCTCAACACCGAGTGAGTTGTGTCTGATAATCTGTTATCAGACTGTTCGGGGCTCACAACAGAGGCTTACAATGCACAGCATCACCCAAAGCATCTGCAAGCGTCGAAAAAATTCAGCTCCTTGTCCGATGCAAGAAAACGGCGCGTGTATATCCGTTTACAAATAGCACGGTATCTGGGATACCGGCGACCCTCTCAGAGCAAATTGCTATGCAAAACTCGTGTTTGGAACTCTGTAAATTAGATCCTCCACTCGTCCGCACAGTTCAAGCAGAAATGACTTCGCCGGTATCCCAGATACTGTGCCATATTTAGAATAGTACAGCGTGAGGAAGACCAGTTTGCACTCGGAATCCACAGCATACCGGAAAGACGATTCCCCTCCACTTCCCTGTTTTGCGTGTATCTAGAAACAGATGCATCAGGGTTTATCACACGCGGTTTCTGTGCGAACACTCCTCAACCAATCCGTCTCATTTATAATTTGGATTGACTTACTTTTTCCTCAATTACACAGAGGACAAGGCGTGGGTATACAGGCTGGCCTTGTCCCAATCCAGGCGTGTTCAGAGTATGTGGTGCTTATAACGGAGGCTCGCACGCAACGTCACCCAAAGCATCTTCGAGTGTTGAAAAAAAACGGACTCCGCGTGCCGTGGAAGGATACCGTGTACGTCCTCCTTTCTGAGCAAAGGTTGTTTTCGCTTCGACTGAGTAGCACAAGTACGCCGCAATAAAATATGGACTACCAATGTTCCGGAGACCGTGACTTGCGATGGTATTTGGAGTACCCTGAATGCATGAGATATGCCAATGGGGAGTGCCGAGTCGATTCGGGTATCAAGCACTTGGCCCGAACAGAAGTTGTGTGTTGGTTGTGTGCACAAAAAAGGTTGGAAAGGGATTACTTATACGAAGCAGCCATCGCGCCGCTGATTCGCACGCTCACTGAAACGAGCTGAAAACGAAAAGTTATAAAATGAAGGAGCAGATGAACGAGGCTACATACTGGAGCCATCAGATTTAGATCCACTTCGCGAAGAAGAGCGACTCTTCCACGGCACCGGACGCGTTCAATCCGTCCAGAAAAGCGAAATCAAGCCCCTTCTCTCGAAGAGCGTTGAGGTCACTGAGCACTGCTGCGCCAGGACCAGAATCTATGCCGACGCACAACACGGCACTTGTGAGAGTGCAAAAGCTATCTTCCCAGCGGTATTTTACCACCTCGCTAAATCTCCCGTAATCCAAGGACCCTTCGTGCATGCACCCAAAGGCCAAGTGGCGTAGTTGGGGGGCCACTACGCTGCTTCCCGACACTTGTTTGTCGAGGATGTCGAGTAGCACTCCAGCTGTGGCACTTGCGGCAGGGGTATCCGCTATGATTGCGAGGTCGACGATGGAAGGGAACTTGTGTAGGACCTCAGCGGCCTTGGGAGCATCAATGCACCCTTCGATGCAAAGCTTCCGTATACGACACGACGAGCGCATGAGCAAGGACTGGAGATTCATGAGGCCGTTATCGGCTTCTTCTGGTTGCAAACACATTGAGATTTCCTCCAGAAGGGGCAACTTGAGGAATGTTAATGCAAGGGGAGCAGAAACATATAGACGCCGAAGATACAACAGCTCTATGAACTCACTGGGTCCTGACCCACGGCTGTTGTTGAACGAAATGGTGATACATGCTTCGCGGAGATTTGTGCATAGCTTCAGCATGCCCCGATGAATGTCCGACGGAGCGTCGAGCTCGTAACGGGTGAGCTGTTGCGTCGGAAAAGAGACCGGTATAAACCGGAATTCATTGTTCACGCCGATGTCCACGAGAGAAGGCGCTGTTTCGAAGCACCGAATGGATTCAGCGGCCGCCTGGCTTGTGTGATCAGCCCACTGGATCCAGAGTCTACGCAGCAGTGGGAGGCAACCTCGCAGGTCCGCCAGCAGGGGGACAAGAAAGGAAGTCAGGGTGAGACTGAGTTCCTCCCATCGTGATGCATGCTTGGCCAAAGACTGGAAGATTTCGAGTTGTGGAGTGTCAGAAGTTTCATAGCCATGGAAATGAACTTTCAACGTGTGAGCACGCGAGATCTGGGTCTCGACCATGGCCACGGGGTAAGAAGCTGACGGGTGAGAATGGTAAGCAATAACCACAAGTGACCATAGAGAGGGATTTGAGACAGAAACCGTCCTCCAGCGACGGCTGACGTGAGTGAATACCCATGGGCTATCTGTGATGCGAGATTTTTGACGTCTGCATGTATCTCTAACCGAGAGCAACGTCCACCCAAATATTTCAGAGAGAATCTCGGGTGGCATCCGCCGGAGCGGGGATAATAATGCGCAATTCTGCGCTCGGAAGCGCGACAGGGAGCCTTGTTCTTCCTCCAGGCGTTGCAAGCGATCCCGGAGCTGCGCTATCTCGTTCTTGAGATAGGTCAAGCGGTCATCAGCTTCTGAGATCGCCGACTGAGCAAGGGCAGCCTCCGTGTCAAGAGGCGGTTCGTTCGAGTTCAAAAGGATGTGGTGTCGTGTTCCTAGGGCAGCGTCCACCCAGGGTCGTGCTCCCAGCACAGGCTCCGTCTTCGAAGTCACTTCGGTCGCACCGACCGCAACAGCACCACATCGGTAGCATGGCACGAGCGGATCCATCTAGGTCTAGTAAATGAGCGCCGGAACCGAATAATCACGGACTCCTTCACCTCAGCGCAAAAACTCGGAAAACGACGGTGGCCGTTAACTTGAAAAGAAAGTTGTGGCATTGATGGCACGGGACGAGAGTGATTAATTTCATGATTTGTCTGATGGCCGTCGTTCTGCCGCAATGTTCAACTTCGAACGAGATAGGAACTGAATTCATGAGGCCCGGAGCCTGGTTTTTTGGCGATGTCGGAGTATGTGCAATGAAAGTGAGAGCTTGATTCAACGTATGACAGAGCCAAGGACTCGTGGTGGAATGCGCTGTCGATCGCAGGCTTCTTGCTTTTTGCCTCATGTCACCACGCAAAATTTCGAAGCGCTCGGTTTGTGCTCTTTCGGGCTATCGTCGTCTCGCGATACTATACTCAATTTACCTTGTGACTCCCAAAAGATCTCTCTGGGTCCCCAGGGTGAAAACTGGGCGCTGCTCCAAAAGCTATCCAAGTCGGGCAATTCAAGCAGGGCTGCACGCCGTCCCCGTCGCGCCGGTTCGACGGGCTACCGTCACGTTCCGTAGAAGATTTTTGAACACTGCCAACGGGACGGCGACGGGATGGTTCGTGGGCCTGACGGCCGTCGAAACACCGGCCGTCGACGGACGACGGCCATCCCGATGGTGAGCACCAAGGATAAAGTATGTTACTATAAATTTTCAACGCGGTTGAACGGTTTTCACCGGCCTATGGCCTGTTTAACTTTCATGGAGTCTCGTGTTCGTTGGAATCCCCCATAAATCTCCCCATGTGTGGTGTGCTCGACAAGTCCAAATCGCTATTCATTGCTCTTGAGGTCAATCTTCAGTGTTGACAAACCAGTGAAGTGGTCATTGTCTCCGAACAATGTAGCCGAATAGCCTTCGGCTACATTGTTCGGAGACAAATAGGCCTGAGGACTTATTATGGGAATTGTTCTCAATGCTTGAACCAGTTGTGATTCAGGACTGGAAGAGAGACCACGTCAGTAAAGTGTGTGGCTGGGGAGTTGGTGTTTTATGCACTCCAAGTGCGCCGCCACGGTCGCATCGTCCGTGACGGCCGTCTCGTCGCCTGTTACGTTCCGTTGACGGGACGGAGACGGGATGTTTTGATCGCCTGACGGGCGTCGACCGTCCCCGTCGACGTGACGGCGTGCAACGCCGCCGCAAGTGTGCCGGCGGTGTAAGTACGCGTTCCTTCTCGAGTCTTGCCGAGTTTCAGACACAAAAAGGCCCTAACCCGGAATTGAACCGGGGACCACCTCGAGGTATCTTTACGGAGACTCCCTAACAAGGTATCATACTACTAGACCATCAGGGCATGGAGACTTTCGCAAAACATGACATTCCAGCCTAACTGCGGCCTGTCAGCGTCTTCTAAAATGCAAACCTCAATTCAACCTCAATCCAACTTGAAGTAAACCACTGCCCTGGTTCAAGGTGGATGGACGCAGAGAATTATGGTTTCTAGATAACACGGCACCGTGATCCCCCATGTTGGAGGTGGGATTCAGGGGGTGTCAATAAATACGGACAAGCAGGCAAAACACAGAAAAAAAAGCTTGATCAACCCACGCCCTCGATGTGAGTCAAACCCGCGTCAACCAACTGCGAACCGTTATAATATTTGAAGTGGAGGATCCACCGCTAATCTACGAGGGCACCGTCACAGGATTCAACGTTTCCTCGCCGACTCTGTCAAAAACACATGTGTAGCACCACAACGCGCCAAGAAAAATGATTATCGACCCAATGCACATGCCCTCGATGGGAGTCGAACCCATGTCGTCCACGGAACGGATGTCGGCCTTTTCAACGCGCGTGGATGATCTACCGGTGATCTACGAGAGCTTTGACAGGTGTGAGTGGTAAATTGGGATCCTGGTTGAATAGGAGCAAGGAGGGTTCCTAGATACATACATTTAACATAAGCAACAACTCGAGCCGTCGTGTCGAAAGGTCAGGGAGGAGGGATTCGGAAGGTGTAGACAAGACACAAAAACACCCAAAAAGTCTCATCTCCTTCATGCCCTCGGCGGGAATTGAACCCGCTTCGTCCACTTACATGGAGTTCCTGTGCGCAATGGATGCGGATGATCTACCGCTGATCTACGAGGGCAACACGCGCAAAGATATGAATAGCTGCTGACTTGGTCGTACAGTTAGTGAATGGAACATGAAGGTGTTTTCTGTTCGTTTTCTGGCTCTTTCTGCCGTTGCAGACTTCGGCTGGGAAGCCAAAGTTGTGCATGTATCAATTGGTTGAAAAACATCGGTTACCGTAGTATTTCGATCAAATCGAACCACGGTGTGACGCGTGACTTCTTCAACCAATTCGAGCTTTCGATAGGCAGTCGAAAGGTGCGTGACACGGAGAAAAAATTCGATAATCATCGGAAATGAGGCGCCTTTCATAGCAAGAAGTGCAAGAAGCAATGCTTCAGCTCACGTCTGTGCGCTACGATCCTTGAAATAATTTTTCTTCCAATTTTCTTCTTGCAGGGATTTGGGGCAAGAAATCGGTCCGTTGGGTCATGAACACACAGAATCAAAGGAATAGTGCAGATTTTGTGTTCTTGATGGCTGAAAACACTCACAAATGTCTTGCTGGATCTCGTGGCATTAAATTTTGAACCGTGAGACCAATTCGATATTCGCCTGGGTGACGCGTGACACCGACCAAATTTCGATATCGATAGGGGTCCGCGTGACGCGTGACTATCGATTTGAACGAAATACTACGGTATGTCTCGTCTCACATCCAAGGTGGGCGTAGCGTGACTGACATACATAAATGAGGCAATATACGCAAGGCATAAAAAAGGCACAGACCCGAGGCTCATGCCCTCGGCGGGACTCGAACCCGCATCGTCCACATAACCATTGCCTCAGTTCCATAATGAATGCGGAGGATCTAACGAGGGCGCGATGGTGAAGGGAGAAGATCTTGAGTTGAGTATGTCGCAGTGAAGCAGGAAGGAAGGCGATGCAACTAATACGAATTGATGAATTCAGGTCGAAGACGAAGGAGCTCGAAGAAGAAGTTCGATGAATACCCAAGAGCCGTGCTTGATTTGAGTGGTTGAATACTGGTTGAATCCGGGCGGAGCACCAAAATGACAGACGAAAATCATTAATGCACTCCTGGGTCCGGACCGAAATGAAGGCGGCGCCCTGCAAGCTAATTGCTTCGGGGCTGTGGAATATTGGAGCTTTGGAATCAGGTTGAATATTGAATTTTCTATTGTTGGGCTGAGCAACGGTCGGTATTTATGTGTTGGCCGCAGAGCTCCGCCGGAGAAAAAGACACTCTGGCTGTGTCGGAGACGGTGCAAACCCCGACACAGAGTATCGTCCGGCAGGAAGGAGTGCAAAGGAATCCAGGATGTTGACATCATGTTGTTTTCGGTTGACTCGGCATTCGCACGGCATCGTCCTCGGAACAGTCGGTGGCAGTACATCAGCGGTACTTTCCTTCGAGTCTTCGTTCGACGACCATCCAGTTTTAAGAAGCAAATCCCTCTGCTTTTAAAAGGACTTATGGGAGATCTTTTGCGGATTCTACGCTCGCCAGGACTGTTAGCGACCAAAGTACGCAATGGAAGATCCTGCAAGACGCACGGCCCATAGTTCTTGAATGCATCACCGTCTCAATCCCTCGGTCGCTTTCCAGATCCAGTCGTGGTCATCGCATCCGATGGCTATAGTCGAAACTTAGCCCGTGCGCGCCAAAAAGTTGGACCATGGAATGCCGGTGATGTTACTATTACTATTACTATTAGACGCGTCCTCGTCCTTCCCTTCCCTACCATGACATCCGTCGCCGCCGTTGACACATGACGCCTCTGCCTCCGCCCATGCCTGGCTTGGCACTCACATCATGGCCGGACAAGCTGACGACAAGCCTCCGGTGTCTTTGTGCGTCCGCAAGAAACGCCTCGACGACGTCGAAACCCATGCTCACCAAGGTGCGTGCGACGTTCCTCGTCCCGTCCCCTCCTTCACTACTCAATTTATTATGAGTAGGACCAACGTGTGTCCCTTCCTCAGCTTCGGCCTGAAATCGGTCGCTCACGTTCCAGTGGATGAGATGCGCGCGCGTGCGCAGACGGGTGCGTCTTTTCCGCTTCGTCTCACTCAAACACGCCGTCGTACTGATTTCGCCATTTAGTATTAGTCCACCGCGCCTCGCCGCCCACACGCCCAGCCGCGCTCGTGGGCCTTATGCGCACGGTCAAGCAGTTGAGCAGACCAGCGTATTTACTGGATCGCGAACGACGTCTCTGTGTCCATGGACCTTATCTGCGCACGTCCAAGCGCGGGATTGGAGCAGGCCCACCGCGGACGGACGTCCGGCCAATGCGTACATGACCATGACGGCGTACCCGACGAACGGGAACGACTGGGCTGGACGCGAGGGCGATAGGGATTCGGACTTGGGCGCAGGCGATCCACGGAGCTTAGTGGGTGTCCTCTCTCCTTTGTTCCGCTTTTACTCTCTTCCCCCCTCCCCCCTTCCTTGCTTGCGCTTTCGCGCTCTTTTCCCTCCTTCTCTTACACTTCTCCCTCATTCCCTTCCTTGAAATGGATACGAGCGTTAACGTTACCGACGTGCAGACACCGGCTCCCGCAAGTCTCACTTCCCCCTGGCGTGTACGCCAGCGGCGCCGGCGCATGACCCCGTAACGCTGCGCGGCCGCGGCGCGTATAGGCAGCCTCGCCGACGCGCACGTCGCCGTCTATGGTCCGCTGCGTTCGTTGGGGCGGGAGCGCGGGGAAGGCAGAGTACCGCGAAAGCGTTGGCGTTGGCGTCCAGCACCAAGCCAGCCGGTACGCCAGCACGCAGCATGCACGCCGCGTCCGCGTTTTACACGCACACCAAGCTGTCCCAACCTCCCCCTCCGCCCCCAAGCCCAGCACGCGCGCCTCACCCACCTTTACGCACGCTGCCTCCGTTTCCGCGCACAAGACAAAATGCGGCCTCTGTGTAGACGGAGACAAACGGCGGGTCCTCATGCCAGCACGTCTATTGCACGCCCGCCGCCTCTGCCTCCGCGCCCAGCGCGAGTGCCTCAGCCTCGCCGGAGATGTGCGTGGCGCGCTCGCCGCTGACACCAGCACGCACCCCGCCTCTGCCCTACCGTACAACGAACGCCTCAACCTCGCCGACGAGGTGCAAAACAAACTATGCGTCACATTGTCAGCGCGCACGCCGCGTCCGGCGCCTCCACGTCCGCGCCGAAGCCCTCCGCGTCCACCTCCGGTGACAACGTGTGAGACAAGCCACGCGTCGCGCTCCACGGACACCACGCCCCTGCTCGTCCGACCGCGAGCGCTGCATCCTCGCCGACGTGCAAGCCGAGCTACGCAGACCGAAATGGGGGCCATGGGAGACAAACGGCGGGTCTTCTATTAAGACACCTCACCTCCGCGTCCAAGCCCACCACAAGCGCCCCATCCTCGGTGATGTGCAAGCCGAGCCATACTAACGAAATTCGGCTTCCACGTAAGACCGACGGCGCGCATTCTATTAGCTCCATGCAGTGCATGCACACCAGCTCCACGACCAAGCCCAAGCCCACCCCCACCACGAGCGCCTCACCCTGGCCAAACGGCGAAGACGTGAAGGACGCGCCGCGCCTTGTGCTGCCGGCCGCACTCGCGGATACCGCGTCCACGCACAGCAGCATGCACGCTGCCTCTTCTGAGACTGCCCCCAAACCCGCCACGAGCGTTTTGCCGAAGTGGTGCAAGACCATCCACGAGTCGTCGCCGGCGTGCACCCACGCCGCCTCCGCACTCAAATCGACGTCCACGCCCATCACGAGCGGCGGAGTCTGACTGTGAGCCTGACACGAGGCTAAGGACGTGGAGGCGATTCAGCGAGCCACATGCACCGTCTGAGCCTGAGTGCAACGGCGTCGGTCTGAACGCGCCGCTTCTCTTCTTTCACCGAGCCCCACCATGCCTCCGCGCGCAGCACCAGAACGCCCCAGCGAAGGCGTGCAAGATGAGCCGCGCGTCGCGTCGAGTCCGTGTCTGGGTCGGCGGCGCGGCGCGGGCGGAGGTGGAGGCGAAGGCGGAGGTGGATGCATGGAGAAGGAAGAGAAGGACAAGCGCTCACCCGTGCACCATGGGCATTGGCGCACGCGGAGTCAGACCTGGAGGGGGCACACGGAGGCGAAGTGCTTGGAGACGGAGGTAGGGGGCATAGAGGCGAAGAAGGAGAAGGGACAAGAATGTGCACCCTTTCCGTTCGCGCCATCTGCACCGTCTGAGCCCGAGTGCGAGGACGTCGTTCTGAGCGCGAGCTTCTTCCCAGACCATCCACGCGTCGCGGAACCCGATTCAGCGGCGCTCGCGGAGTCTGATCTGGAGGTGCGCACGCGATCAGAGGCGCAGGAGGCGGAGTACGCGGGAGAGATCTGGGGAAGGGGGAGAAGGACAGGCGCTCGCGCTTGCGTTATCTAGTGCGAGGGGGTCATTTTGAGCGCGCGACTTCCCTCCGTGTCCCTGCGCATGCGTCGTGTCCTCGCGCATGCGTCGTACGCGCACCCGCATCTCTCGTACAGATCCTACCAACACGACTGTCCCAACCCCACGCACCAACGACACGACAGCGATCGGCGCATTCACCGGCCGCATATTCACTCCACCTGCTATGCCAATCCTTGGCCTCTGGCTCTCTCTCCCTGTCTCTTTTGCTTCACTCCACACCATCACCGTAATTGTTCGCGTCCGGACGCGATGTTTCGACTGCCTGCTCTTGATCCCGAGCCGCCACAACTCCCAACCCACGGATCGGAACCCGCCGTCCTCTGGGCTCCTCTCTTCTTTTTAGTAACAGCTAGCCAGTAGCGAGCGAGAGCTATCAATTAGCCTCTCTATCTGCTTGAAAGCCGTACGTAGATATGGATGGAACAAGGAACGGGGGCCGGAGCGCTTTGCGTTCTTTTGTAATTGTTTCGTGTTCCGTTTTTTTTTGTCTACGACATTGGGTGGACACTAATGGGCATTACTACGGGTGTGGACCGAAGTAACGAGGGTATGGGCAACAGCACAGAAGGGCACTACAAGAACCAAAGATAGCGACAGCCAGGAGGCTGAATGCCCTCTGTC